GCGATGGGAGCTGCCGCAGGGCTGGGGCCGCGGGAGACAGGACCACAGAGGGGACACTGGCGATGTTGGCCAGGTCAGGTTGGCCGTAAGGAAAACAGGAGGTTGGGGAGCCGGATAAGGGAGGCCTAGGACAGTCTGGAAGGGAAGAGGAGCAACCCTTCCCGCTGAGCAGGTCAGGCTGAGCCCTTGTCCCTCACCTCAGGGCACCTGCTCAGGTGTGCAATGCTTACCCCACTGTATAGATAAGGAAAAGGAGCCTCAAAGCCGTCAAGTACAGAGCTGTGATGCAAACCCAGTGTTTTCCACAATTCTACAGGATTTACAGCACCTACTATGTGCCAGGGCCCGTCTGGGCTGTGTGGTAGCCATTGCTCCTGCTGGCTGCTCTGCGCTGGCCCCAGCCGCTCGAAGACAAGGTGCAAGATGCATGAAGGGAGCTCACTGGGGCATGGAGAATTTGGAGAGCAGCTGCTGAAGCTCGGGAGCTGTTCTATTGTCGCACGCGCATGCTCACCCAGCAGTCGCTCCAGCGAGAGGAGAGAGGGGAGTCCAGGGAACAACGGGCCGTCTGCAGCCCCCTGACCAGCAGCCAAGCTGGTCGTCGCTGACTAGTGGGGTCCTCGAAGCAGGAGGGCTTCCATCGGGCAGCTGAGTGCCCGTGGGTCTGGGTGGCTGGATGGCACCTCCCCACCATCTGACCTAATTCAGAGATGTCATCACCTCCACTGGGTTCCACTCTCCATCCAGGTGTCAGCTCTGGGGACAACGGAGGGGAACACAGCAGACACGGCTGCTGCTCCCCTGAAACACGGGGTCTGCTGAGGGTCAAGACAAAAACACGAAGCCACAAGGACAACGGGGCCAGGCAGCCGTGGGGGTCAGGTCGCGGACAAGGAGAACAGCTTACCTGATGAAGGGCTGTCCATGCAGAGCCGAAAGCAAGAGCAGGAACTGCCCGAGCAATGGGGCAAAGGGAAGAGGGTTCCAGAGAGGGGCAAGAAGAGGGACGAGAAGAGGCCTGGAGCATTGAGAGCCCCGGCCGCGTGGCCAGGGCTGAGCAGGCGCATCGGCCACATCAGGGAGGCCTGCGGCTCCCCGCGTGCAGACCTGGGACGATCAGGACAAACAGGACCAACACCAGAACCCCCGGCGGGCCGGGCGCAGGATGCTTGATGCACCCCCTTGGCTTCTTGGGTGGAGTTTTCTAACACCCTCGCCTCCAGGGGTCTGCCCCAGGAAGGGCCCGGTATGTAACATCTGGATCCCAGAGTTAGGGACGCAGGGGACGGGACACCAGGAGCTCCTGCGAGACAGCCCCAGGTCTGGGAGACTTGGCAGGGCAGGAGGAGCGGGAGGACGGGAAGTTGGAGGGCAGCCGTGGGGCCAGGGTCGGGACGGTGGCATGAGCTGCACCCACCAAGACACATGGAGTCCCCACTGCCAGCACCTGTAAATGTGACCTTGATTGGAAATAGGGTCTTGCAGATGCGATTAAGTTGGGAAAGGTCATTGGAACGGCCCTGATCCAACACAACAGGCGTCCTAACAGACAAGAAGTCCTTATGGAGACAAAGGCAAGATCAGAGCCACCTGTCCCCAAGCCTGGGGCTACCAGAGGCTGGAAGAGGCAGGAAGGACCCTCCCAGGGAGGTTTTGGGGGGATCCTAACCCTGCTGACCCCTCGGCTTTGTACTCCTGGCCTCTAGGACTGTGACAATCCACTCCTGCTGAATATAGCCCCTCGGTTGGTGGCACTCCTAACAGCAGTCATGCGGGTGGGGTGGGGGGAATACAGTCGGAAGAGGCTCCACTCAAGTCTGGGGCAAAGCAAGGTGCAGGGTTAGGTTTGAGGTGAGCCAGTGTCTGCAGGTTTTCAGTTTTGTCCCATCCCCCTGCCACACCACCAAGACAAGAAAGGGCACAGGGTCAGTTCTAGAAAAATCAGGGCTTCTCATACACCTTAGTCCAAGAACATACATTCCACCAGGCAATGTCCACTTGTCAACTTGGTCTCCTTGGAGTTAGGGCACCTCTTTAAGTGTGGACAGAGAGGCTCAGACCCAGGTGGGGTGACCCAATTATCATGAGGATGTTTGCTGGAGTCTAGCTGATGAAAGTGTTGGAAGCCACCTGCATACCCAGCCCCATGGTGGACTACCATGTGTCACCAGCAGTTTAACACGTGGTGAAGAGGCTGTGACCAGGGCTAAGCAGTTGAATGAATCAGCCCGAGAAGGACGTCACAGGGTAGGCCCCATATTCACACAGTGTGGCTGCGTCAGGCCACTCTGACAAACACCTCCTAGACTTCAGCGCCTTAACACAGCAGAATTTTGTCTTTCCCTTAAGACCTGATCCGTTATGGAGTGTCAGGGAAGGGAGGACCCCCTGCACGGGGGCATTCAGGACCCAGGTTCCTTCTTTCTCATGGCCTGGCTACTCCCTAGGGTCTCAGAGTCCCTCACTGGGTCCCTCCCATCCCAAGCGCATCTGGAGAAGAGGGAGCACAGAGCATCCACAGATCTTCTGGGCCAGACCCAAGAGTGGGTGGCCTCACCCTCTCCCACATCCCATTGGTCAGAGCTCAGTCATGTGCCACCCTTCCTGCAGGGGAAGCTGGGAAATGTAGTCCAGCCCCCACCAGAGGAGACAGGCTACCAGACCTGGCTGCCACAGCTGATGGCAGGGACAGTACTGCCAGGAGGTCCCCACATGTTAATGATGGTTATTTAAAAATATCTGTTTTCTTTGAATTTTCCAAAAATTTCCAAATTTCCTGAAATAAATATTTTTTTCCAAGAAAAATATAATTATAACTTAAAATTGATAAAATATTGTCCAGGCTTCGGAATTCCTTTGGAATTTGGACCGGTTTGCTCAGTGGTCAGGCTTTGGGGTCAGATCTATAGAATGTGACCAAAGGAACATTGTGTCCCCTTCAGATGGCTCACTACAAATGCCTTAAAGTGGGAGCTTAGGAAAAAAAAAAAAAAAAACACAGAAGTTTATGTCTGACAGTTCAGGAGGCCGGAAGTCCATGGTCAAGGTGCTGCAGATTCCGTCTCCAGTGAGGCCTGGCCTTGGCTTTAGAGCTGTCCTCCTCGTCCTCTTCCTCACATGGTAGAATGCCGAGCATGCTCCCCGGGCCTTTCATAAGGCACTATTGCCACAGTGGGGACTCTGCCCTGGTGACCCCAGGGCCCACCTCCTAGTACCATCACCTCTGGGGTGACACCGATCATCAGAGCATAGCATGATCTAGGCCTCGAAGTCCCTGTATCCATAAAATGAAAAATAAAAACACACATCGCAGAGAGAGTTGGAAACTCAAATGGGGAAACGTGAAGCGTCGTCACCCTGGCTCAGGGTGAGTCTGCAGCGGGGCTTGCGGTGGCCGTGAGCACTCGTGGCAGACTTCCTTCCGCCACCCTGCCCTGTCTGGGGTGACCGCCTACACATCCTCCGGTTCTCAGACCATCATCACCATCTCCCCACCCTCTCCTGGGGACCTGCCTCCTCTTTCACAAGGACAGAAGTGGGCAAGGTCCAGGGCCTGCCACCACCCTCCTGCCCTTGGCCCCTGGGCCACTCCCTCTACCCACTCCGTTTCTAGAACAGACTGCCCGCAGGGAAGTGCTCCAGCTGGCCACCTCTGCCCTGCACCATCCAGTCTCCCTGCTGCTCTGCCACCTTGACAGCGCCCCCGGCTGTGCGACTCGCTCCACCATGGCCCCTGCTCCGTTCCCTGTGTTACATTTACCCAAACACCTACCACTGCTGGGTCTGCTTCCTCCAAACAGGCCTCCTTTCTCTGTTCCTCTGACCTTGCTCTTGTGAAGGTCACCACTGACCTCTCTGTTGGGACCTCTGAGGTCAGCTCAACCTCCCCTATGGCTCTACGGCCATCACCACATCCTCGTACCAGTGCACACCCCACGGATCCTTCTTCACCTTTTGGCCTCTCTTCCTCCACCTTCTTTGCTTGGTCCTTACTCCCATCTATGACCCCAGCGTTGGAATGACCAAGACTCATCCTTGGGTTCTGGGTTGGATTGTGTCTCCCAAAAAGATATGTTGGGGAATATTATTCAGCCTTAAAAAAAGAAGAAAATTCTGAGTGTTCGACCTCCTAGATGGACCTAGAGGGCACTGTGCTAGTGAAACAAGCCTGACACAGAGGACAGACTTCCTTCCCGTCCACCACGTGGTTCTGTTGACATGAGGAACAGCAGGCATCAGAGATGGCCAGCAGAGGGGCGGCTTCCAGGAGCCGGGGGAGGGGCAGTTAGTGCTCAGCCGAGCAGAGCTCCAGCTCAGGGAGATGGACACGTGTAGGTGGACCCCAGCAATGCTGCCCAGCATGGTGAGTGCACCTCATGCCGCTCAACCTAAAAATGGCTACAATAGTAAATTTTATGTCATGTGTATTTTTCCACAATATAAAAAGATAACCTAAACAAAATTTTTTAAAAATATAATTTCCAAAAAGATGTTGAAATTCTACTGCCAGTGCCTCCGCATATGACCTTATTTGGAAACAAGGTCACTGCAGATGTAATCAGTCAAGATGAGGCCATGCCTGATGGGAGTGGACCTTCAGTCCTCATAAGAAGGGGACAGAGACATACAGGACAGAGGCCATGTGACCACATAGGCAGAGATAAGGGTGATACAGCTGCAAGCCAAGGAAGATCAGGAATGGCCAGCCACCGCCCAGAGCCAGGAGGAGGGAGGAAGGATCCATCCTGGGTCTCAGGAGACACAGCCCTGCTGACCCGTCAGTTCCAGATCTCTGGCCTCCTAAATCGTGTGAGAATCTGTTTTTGTTATTTAAGCTCCCAGTTTGTGGAAGTTTGTTACAGTCCCAGGAGACGAACACAGGCCCCTTCTCTTCCCCCTCCCTCCAGGTTGGTCCCATCCAGCTCAGGGCCGTCAGCTCTATAACCACGGATGCCACAGTGACATCTGCACCCACCCTCCCACCCGCAACGCAGGTTCATCCGGCCCTTGGCCCCCCTGGTTGGCTATCAGGCAACTCAGATGTGACATGTCTCCGACAGCACTTCTGCTCATCCCCCAAACTCACTCTTTCCATCTTGGTTAATGGATCCTCATCCAGCAAGTGGCTCTAGCCCCAAACTCCAGCCTCTTCCTGACGTCACCTTCTCTCGATGCCCCTGTCAGGAGCACCAGGCAATTACTGGCAGCTCTGCCTTCAAACCAGCTCCCTAACCAATGCCTTCCCTGGCGGCTTCCTTGGAATCCTGGCAGCGGCCCCGCGTCTGCCTGCCGTGGGGTTGCAGGGGGTCTGGACCACGTTAGTCAGATTTTCTCAGCTCAGAATCCTCCGGGGACTGCCCGCCTCCCCCCTTGGCGAACACCAAAGCCCTTGGTGGCTGGCAGGCCTCATGGAGCCCTCTGCTCCCTAACCTGGGCTCCTTGCCCACTCCAGCCACTCTGGCCAGCCACCTTGCTGTCCTGCAGGTCCCATCCAGGAGACTTTGCTCTTACTGTTGCCTCTGCTGCATGCTCTTCCCCGGAGCATGAAGTGCCCTTCACCCCCTGACCAAGGAAAGTGGCTTTTCCACGAGACCCCCTCAGGCCCCTTATTTTATACCACGAGCCACCTTCCCTGGGACCCTGCTCCCACGGCTTCGCTTCTTTCCTCCCCAGCGCAGTCTCTGTCCTCTCTAGCAGGGGTACCGTGCTCACCCCGGGCTTATGCCCTGCCCCTCTGTGCAGGAACGTGGGCCCCGAGATGGCAGCAAGCTTTACCTCTTTTCCCTGCTGAGCCCCCCGAGCCTGGCTCGGTGCCTGGCACACAGAACTGCACAGTAGATGTTTAACGAATGCACGGGGACATGGATGGATGGATTTTCTGGTTAAGGCTCTTAATTTCTCAACATCAGTGTGGGTTCCAAAGGAGGCTGGCTGAGACGGAGGCTCAGAGACGGCCCTCCTTGTCTTGCTTGGAAGCTGACTTTAGATCCTCCTTCCAGAGGACCCAGAGGCATTCCAGAGCCCACTGAGCTAGCTTCCGGGCAGGGCGGGAAGAGAGGTCTGCTCAGCTCTGTTTCTTCCCCACGTAACTTCTCATTCTCCTCCACCCTCGATCCTGCAGCTCGGGATCCTCCTCCTCCTTTTTCTTGCTCGCAGTGGCCAGCTAAACAGCCTCCTAGGACTGTGGGGTCTCTGAGGAGCCTCCCGTGGGCCCAGCCCTGCAAGATGGCAGGAGATACAGGAAAATACAAGCTGCCTCTAAGACCCTGGAACTCGCGTGCAGGGGTGGGAGGGGGAGGACTTGCACCAGGAGCTACCAGGCAACAGCTCAATCAATGGTGGCACAAAGAACTGACATCGCAGGTGGGGCGCCGGAGGCCGCGGCTCATTCCATTGCCGTCATCTTCCTCCGCCTCCTCCTCTTGCTTGGAGGAAGATGCTCCTGAGAAGATCAGAGGGCAAAGGTGGACCTGAGACAGGGGCCAGCGCCCTCTGGCCGGGGGAGGGAAGGCAGAGCCCACTGGTCCTGCAGAGCGCCGGGCCTGTGTGACCCGGAAGAGCCCCACTCACCTTAGAGAGAAACCTAGGGCTTGGGGAAGGGAGGCGACTTCGCCAAGGGCACAGAGAAAGGCAGTGTCACATTGAGACCCTAATGCATGCCCTGGCCTCTCATCCCTTGTCCACTGAGCAACAGGAGGGACACTGTGGTCAGCAAGGAGCAGAACACTGGAGAAGAGCCTGTTCCCCATGGTGGCCAAGGCCCTGTGCTAAGGCTCTCCAACGTGCTGCAGAAGCTGCCCACGGCACTGAGGGGACACTATGATTGTCCCCAATTGTCAGAAGAGGAAAGTTGGTGACAGGAACCCATCCATCAATCTCAAGGTGACACAGCAGTAGGGGGAGGGGCCCACTCGGAGAGCAGACTCCTAACAGTGCTCTCCACAGCTCCTTAGAGCCAGAAGCCCACGAGGGTCTTAAACCCAGCCCCGTCACCACCAGTCTCTGAGCCCTTTATCTGCAAAGGGGGACGACACCTCTGTCCTCAAATGTGTTTCCAGAATGAAAGGAGGACGTGGGTGGCTGGCCCAGGGAGGCACTTGGAGAACGGCAACTGTGCAGTGGAGCTGACCCTCCAAGTTCAGCGAGCTATTTTTTTCCTACTTATTTTTTTTTAACTGTGATAAAATACGCATGACATAAAAGTAACCATTTTAGCCACGTTCAAGGGTGCAGTTCAGCGGCACCCAGCACTTGCACACTGTGGCACGGCCACGGCCACATCCAGCTCCAGGACTGTTGCCACATCCACGCTGAGACTCAGCCCACTCCCCAGCTCACCTTAAACCCCGCCTCCGCTGCATCTGCTGGTTGGGGAGGCCTGGGGATGAAGCCCTGGCTGCCAAAGCAACCAGGTGACAGGAAGTGACGGGGAGAAAGGCTACAGGGAGAGATCCAGGAAGCTGCTTCCCAGGGACAATCCCACCGTGACCCCATCAGCCACAAAGCAAGGATCCGTGCCAGCTCCCCCACCTCTCCAATCAGGGACAGCAAGATGCTTTGCTGGCCTGTGGTCTCGCGGTCAGCCTCAGCATCCTCCTCTCTGAAGTGGGGTTGCAGATAAGGGTTGTATCATCCAAGACCCTGACGTGTGCAGCCCGAAGCAGATGCCAGTTGTAGTGGCCCTCAGTGTCAGCCACCACTGTCACAACTACTGCTGTTATTATTCACCCCAGTAACCAGAAACAGGGCAGAGGGCCTGTGTACCATGCACCCATCACCTCTGTCCTTTATGTCCCCAAACAGCCCAGCTGGTCCCCTCACCACCCCGAGACCAAGTCCTTGAAATCAGTTCAGCCCGAATGCTCAGAGCTCCTACCAGAGTAGGGGTCTGCTCCCGTGCTGGGCACTGTGGCCAAGAGACAAGCAAGACACCGAGCTGACCAAAGGATACGAGGAGGCAGACATGGGCTCAAACAGCTTCGAGTCACCTCTTCAGTGATGAGCACATTAGGTTCTGAGGAAGGAAAATGAAGAGAAGCAGAAGTGACCTGGTCTTAAGGGCCACTGGGGGATGGGCATGGGTCTCAAGGGGCCAATGCGGGGAGCAGGTCAAGGACCTGTGTGTCAAGTTTGCACTTCTCCTTGCAAGCGTCAGGGGCGATGGCAGTGGCAGCATCCATATTTTGGGGCACTGGCCCTGGGGCCTGTGGAAGAAGAGGGGTTAGAGAGATGAAGACAGGTGCTTCCGGTGGCATCTTGGGAGAGATGCCAGTAGCCAGGAAGGGAGTGTTGGGAAGAATGGTGAGGAGGGGCCGACTGCAGAGATTCCAGAGGGGAAACTGGTGTGGCTGGGGCAGCAATGCCTCCAAGATGTCCCTGTCCTAATCCCCAGAACATATGGGTAGTTTACGTTTCATGGCTGGGCAGAATTAAGGTTGCAGATGGAATTGAGGTTGCTAATCAGCTGATTTTGAGGTAGAGAGATTATTCTGGATTATCTGGGTGAGCCAATGTAATCACAGGGTTTTTAAATGTGGAAGAGGGAGGCAGAAGAGCCAGCGTCAGAGAGATGCTATTGCTGGCTTGGAAGACGGAAGGGGACCAATGTGGGCGGCCTCTATACTTGGAGAAGGCAAGGAAACTGATTCTCCCCCTGGAGCCTCTTGAAGGAGCACAGCTCTGTCACCACCTTGAAGCTAGCCCAAGGAGACCAGGTCAGACTTTGGGCCTGTAGACCTGAAAACAGTACATTTATGTTGTTTTAAACCATTAAATTTGTAATTTGTTACAGCAGCAGTAGGAAACTAATACCACCTGTCATGTTGGGGGGAGTTGGAGGAAGGGGACATCAAGGACAATTGGCCTGGGGACTGGAAGGATGGTAATGCTACCAAACACGGGAAGCTGCAGGAGGACAACACATGGGACAGGTACCCAGGTCTCCTTCTCTGTCCACTGCATCTGAGACCCCAGCCCAGCACTAGGCACGAAGCCCAGCAACCCCTGTAGGGGCGGAGGGCCACATCTTCACAATTCTACAGGCGCTGTGGCCTGTAGAATGAACGGATGGTGGGTGGATGGCGAGGTCTCCAGTTCCTTCGGTCTCTCTCTCTCTCTCTTTTTTTTTTTTTTTTTTTGAGTATCAAAACAACCACAGTTGTAAGCTTCTGCTTCTGTAACAAGCCAGGAAAACAGAATTTTAACCTCAAGGGCTGATGTCAAGGCGGGATGAGGAGCCAGGGCCAGAAGGCATAAGTAGGACACTGCAGGTTCCCGGAGCATGAAAGAGTCTGAGAGCCGGGTTTTTGCTGGAGGAGGGCGGGCAGGTGGGACTGGCCGGGACCCTCTCCCACCTGGCTCCCGCAGCAGTTCCCACCCCCACCTTCTGTCCAATGATGAGGGGTCCGGCTCGCAGGAGAAGCCGTCGCCCTCCCGGGCCTTTGTCTCGCTCCCGCGCTGCCGCGCACATGGTCCCCTGTCAAATTCCGGGCGGCTCCAGGGGACACGTGTCGGAAAGCCAGCAGCTCGGCCTGCCCCGCGTCACCATGGAAACGGCGGCCAATGGGAGGTCCGCGCCACCCGCGGGGGCGGAGCCGAGGGCGGCCGGAGTGGGCGGGGCGCGGGGCGGGGCCGGGGCGGGGCGCGGACGTCAGCCAGCAGGGGGCGGGGCCGGCCGCGTGCGGGACTCCGCAGTGCGGAGGACGCCCCCGGGCTGAGATCGGCACCGCGTGGTTTTGGTGACATCTTGACAACATTTTCTTGGCACTCCTGGGCATTCCGTAGCCTACCAAGTATAAGGTTAAGATTCTAGAGTCCTACAGAACTGGGTCCCCCTCTCCCGCCACACACAGCACCCTGGGCCTTGTGCAGCAAGGAACTGGACCTTTCCGTGCTTCAGCTTCGTGACCTGCTAAATGGGGTCGTTGTGAGGGTCCAGGGAATGACAAGCGATTAGCCCCAGCCTGGCCCCAGGAGGTAATCAAGGAAAAGCAGTGACCCCTAAGACGAAGGTCTTTCTTGAACCCCGTTGGAAGAGAGGACCTCATTTGGGGATGAAGAACCCTCTGCTCAGCTGGGAAATCCTGGGGTTCTGCCTCTTGACTTTATTGCCAGAAGCTGTTTCTAATGCCAACCTCCATGTGCTTCAGTCAAAAAAATGGGGAGATGAGTGTCTCCATGGGAGGATCCCCACGGCAGCAGCCAGGCTGCAGAAATCCTGGAGGCAGACAGAGCAGAGCAGAGCAGAGCATCTCTCCGTGCAGGGCCGGAAGGAAATTCCAATGCCAAGACCCGGGGGCCAGGACAGGTTTGGGCACTGCTACCCACCGGGTGATTCACACTAGCGTTTTGGCCTCTCTGGGGGCGGGGGGAGGAATTTTTGTAAAACAATGAAGATTTACCTGCCAACTTCCCACTCAGCATGGTCGGGGACCTGAAATGAGGATGTGCAGTCTCATCACCTCTGAGATGTCCAGTGGCAGCAGATGCAGATGATGACCTGCAACAGGAGGGACAGGGTCCCTCTTACCTGGTTCCCCAGGGCCCAGGGCAGGGCCTAGGACAAAGGAACATCCCTTAGCCAAGATCATCAATGAGGCAGAATCCGCCTCACTTTTATGGAGTAGAAATCCATTCATTCATCCATTTAATAAAGATTTCTGCAAGTCAGCCATGTCCCCAGCACTCTGCTAAGAAGTAGGCTGTGGAGGTGAAGAAAGCAGTCGCCGCCCTACAAGGGATCACCATCCTGCTGGAGAAATAGGCATTAAGGGAAAAAATAAACATGCAAATAACACAGGGGCACAAATATCCATAAATGCCCTGAAAGAAGAGTGCAGGAGCCCTGAGCATGCCGGGAATCAAAAGGAGGGCTGGTGACAGAGAGCAGTGAGCACAGAGGAGAGATAGCAAAGGGAACCACGTGCAGGGCCCTAAGGAACGCAGGACATTCATGGAAGCGGAGAGTGTAGGTGGCACCATGCTAAGGAGCGTGGTTCCAGAAAATGACCGCAAAATAGGCTCATGGAGATTTGGACCAAAATGCACACCCCGTTTTTCAAAATTTTTCCCTGGATTCAGTTTGCATTCAGTCTGGTCTCCGCCGCCTTCTACCTCTTCCAATCTGAAGGCACAGGACCACCCAGAATCAGAAATGAGTTTCCTGTTGCTAAGCTTGCTCCACTGACTAGGAAAGAGGAGGAGACCACTAACAGAAAGATGGCAATTAGGGCTGGGGTGGGGTTAGGGTTGAGTTTGGGGTTAGGGGAAGAGTGGGGGGGATAGAGCTGGTTTTATGTTGGGGTTAGGTCGGGAGGAGATTTAAGGATGAGGTTGGATTGGGGCTAGTGTGGGTTTGAGATTAGGGCTGTCTTTAGGATTTGGGTCAGGGTTGGGTTAGGGCCGGGTTTAGGTTTGGTTTGGGGTTTAAGGTTGGGATTATGAGTTTGAGCTTCATTAAATATGTACATATAGCTGGCTCTCCACAGAATATCTGGCATGTAGTGGGTGCCCACAGATTTTTTTTTTTAAATGAATGAATGACTGTTTCATTGTGAAACCCACAAGACAAAGTGACCAGCTAACTTTATTTCCCTGGATATTGTGGTTATTTGTCTGTGTTTTGTCCTAAGAGTGAAACTTACCACGGCACTAATTTTATATTCTTCTAAGTCAGAACAACAAAATCATCCCAAAATAGGAGATGAAAAATAGTCTGAGCATGCCAAACAGGTGACCAGGAGAGGGGACCAGGGAGACAAAAGAGACAACCCAATGTGAGTAGGTTCTAGGCAACGGTCATAGTCCAGATGGGGAAGAGGGGAACCAGGCTTTTGGGAGAGGCCAGAGGAACCAGCCCAGCTGAAGGTCAAGTGTAGAAAAGGGGTGGGGGAGTGGGGAGAAAAAAATGGTGGTCGAGAAAATAGAAGAGCTGGCAGCTCCAGGTCCCCGGTCCCAGAGAGCCCTGGAAGCTCCAGGGATGTAACCCAAGTCATTCCTGAGGTCCGTGTGGCCCGTTGCTGCAGAGGCTCACTAACGAGCTCAGGAAGGACAGCAACCCAACATTCTTTGTAGGGATTTTCAATATTTTTCACATCATGCAAAGAATATTAAGGGGAGTCCAAGTTATGCCCTTGAGCAGGGCTCCTCAGACCTCCCTCCCCGTGGGCTCCTGCACGCGCCCCCCAGAGCCTCAGGCTACCCTGGGTTCTCCATGTAGCTTGGCCCACGGTGGGACCCGTGACAGTGGGACCGGTGACTCTGCTTCTTGGCCTCCTGTTTTCCTGGCCCCCACCCAAACAAGAACAGACTAGTCAGTGCACCTGGGCCCCTTCCCTCCTCCTCTGTGGTCCTGCCCTCCACCTTGTCACCCCATGGAAGGTGCTGGCCAGGCAGGAGAGAGCTGAAGACCGCGGGTCAGGATCCTCGGGAACACTCTTGAGACTTGTCCTCAGCACAGTATAAAGACGGCACCATCTTCAGGGGGCCCTGGGGAGCCGCGAGAGGATTTTGAGTCAGAGCGGAGCAGCTGGATTTGGGGGTGCCCTGAGAGCAGGGCTCTGTGTGTTCTGTAGGTGACCCTCTGTCTGCAGCTGGAAGTTCTCACTTAAATACACCGCGGTGGAAGGGGCCAGCGGTGAGTGGGTTCTTGAATTTCTGGTATATTCTGGATTTTCATGCAGGCTCAAGAACCCCAGGATCACTGCCCCTTACCACAGCTGCTCCAAGTCCTGTCCCTCACCTTGTGCCACCGTGACCTCCACGCTCATAGGATGGGGACCCTGGCTGCCCGCCTGCATGGTGGGGCTCCTGGACCAGCTCCACCAGCCTGCTCCCCTGGGCAGGATCCGCTACGCACAGGAACCTCCCGAGCTCTGGCTGTGGCTGTAATTCTGGTTTCCAGCAACACATAAAAATAGCTTCAAGGACATCCAGGGGGTGGGAAGGGGGAGACCTGGTCCCAGGGTTTCCAGGAGAAGCAGATACACACGACTCCCCCTTTCCCTCTCCAAGGGCCCCCTGTCACTCACAGGCTTCATATTTGAACCTCCCTGAGGACCTCAGGCCTCAACACACAGAGCTCCTTAGTCAGCAGCCT